TTTATTTATTTAAAATTACCCACAATCAAGTTGACAGAAGAGTGATATAGGAAAAAATAAAAGAATCTGGGTGGAATTAATTACCCTCGAAGAGTGACAGTTGCCTCATTCCTAACAATATGTTTGGGATAATGTCAGTTTCTTAGAAAGCTCAAATGTAAAATTATGGTGCTACTATCAGCATTTGTATTTGAGTTGAAAACTGCGATGTTGAACTATTAACTGTGCTTCTGATCTAAACTGATTTCTTAGTTAGCAATAATGTTCATATTCTGACTTATGAAGCATTGCTAAAGATTTTAGCTATGGTTGGAAGAGAAAACTATAAAGCAGTTAAAACTTGAGGAACACCTCTGCCTCTCTTCCCTTTGAGTAAGATCTACTGCTTTTACAAAATGTATTTTTCTTCACCACTTTTTATAATAACAAATGGCATCTACTCTGCTTCACGGCTTAGCCACAGCCAGCACTGGCCTTGATGGGCAAACTCTTGGTCCCTGCCAGTGATGGAGACCACGAGAAATAAGACAGATGTTTCAAGTGCAATATCTGGAGGGTGCTGAATCTCATGGACACAGCTTCCCCCAGATTGGGCTTTCTAGAATAAAGGCAGCCACATAATGAAACTAACATAGTGATTTGAAAAGGTATCGCCCATTCTGTGTGACTGTAGTGAGTGAAACTATATGACTTGTTGTCTTGGTCCATTTTCTGCTGCTATAACAGGATATCATAGACTGGGTAAATTGAAAACAATAGAAATTTATTTGGCTCATGGCTCTGGAGGCTGAGAAGTCCAAGAGCGTGGTGGCAGGATCTGGTGCGGCTCATCCTGTGGTGGAAGAATGGAGGCAAGTGCCCAAGACAGAGTGAAAATGGGGGCAAAACTTACCGTTTTTTTAGGAGCCCACTCCAGTGATAACTAAGCCACTCTTACCATAATGACATTAATCCATTCTTGCGGGCTCTTCCCTAATCACTTCTTAAAGGCCCCAGCTCCTGATACCATTACCTTGGCAATTGAATTTCAATGTGAGTTTTGGCAGAGATTTTCAAACCATAGCACTTGTGAAATATCGTAGAATGGTAGAGCAAGAGTAGTGGAAGGAGCCTTGAAGGTCATCTAGTTATTAGACTAATGCCTCCCCTGCCTCTCTTTCCTTTATTGGGACAACCTAAAACTGGTGCTTAGTGTTTAAATAACTGGCCACATAACCATTTAGTGGCGTAACAAATAGTAGTGCTGACATGTGTGAGCACATTGTGCCATGTCAATGCTCACCACTATATGCCACTTTAATATAATAGCTTTGTAACAGAACTCCCTACTGGAGTTTTCTTTCTGGGCTACGGTAGGCCAGGAATCTCATCACATCCACCTCACTGCATCCCCACACCAACACACTTTTTAATGTATTTACTAAACTTGGGTAAAGAATAAATTAGTGCAATGCACACTGTAAGGTATATTTGTGCAAGGAGAGAGAGCAATCCCTCTTGTCTTCTTTGGCGATGTTGGGAATTAACCTTGGTTTTACTAAATAGAAGTCTACATTCCATATAGGCACACCAGAGCAAGTTCCCTAATGTAACTATGAGTCAGCACGTCTCAATGCCCTGTGGGATTCTGTGTCATTGACCACTGTATTTATACTGACGAACTTACTCCAATTCAAGCCTTGGGCACTGGTAACTTTATCATCCGATGTGAAACCAATGAAGTGGAAAAGTTTCTATTGGTATCATAGATGGCCTTAGCAGCCAAAGTGACCCTTGGATCTCACCCCAGTTGTGGATCTGTCAGGCAGATGTCATCTGCCAATATCCTTTAAGCATGAGACCTTCTACTTTGTCATTTCCATCATTGTTGGACAAGACACTTGCCTTATATTGAGTTATCTGGAAAGAGAGGCACAGAGTGAGAATAGCTTTTGATACTTCTCCTGATTGGGGAAAAAGGGGTCTTTTCAGGGGACTGTCCCAAAAGGGGTCTTTTGGGGACATCTATGTAGTGTAGCAGAGAGCAGAATCCACTTTGGTGTGCAGACTTTACAGGGGAAGGGGCCGAGGCTTGTCTAGCATCTCTCTATATCGGGGATCTCTGCTGGGGGCTTTCATCAGCACCTCTCTCTCTCTCTCTCAACTTCCATAAACATTCTATTCCCAAACCATGGCAGGTAATTCCAATCTATTTAAAGCAGAAGTAATTTTGCGAAATAGAAATTCCAAAAAAAAAAAAAAATCAAAAGATTAACAAATTGTCGATGGACTTTTGACCTATCACATTCATATGAGATGGGAAAATGAATAAATGAGGACATTGGATTTACCAGCTAACATTTATTAAGCACGTACAGCATGTGAGGCATTACGCTTTATATATACTAGCTTATATAGTATGTAAAATGTAACTGAAAATGTGTTTATACAATGTATGAATGTTTGATTCTTAAGTGAAAATGTTTATTCATCAGCTACATGTTGGTCGACACTGTCCATATTTAATGGGCTCCCAGAAAATGACAGCCTGAGAGTCTTAGTTGCATCATTACCTTATTCAGTGTAAGAATGATTGCTTATAACATTCTCCTAATATCCAGCGATAATCCAGATTTATGCTTTCTTTCATCTTGGTGTCTGCCTGTATTTTATTTATTGCTTATTTATTTATTAGGGAGCTTCTATGGGATATTACTTGGCACTTTTCAATTATTTTACTTAACACTGGAAAAACATCCAGGAAGCACACGACTACAGAGGGTGACTAGCACAGCCTCAGCTGGTGTCTCAGGTTGGGTTGCCCGGAAAGGAGGCTGGTGGCACATTCTCAGGAGGTACACAGGAAAGGAGGTGCGGAAGGCAGAATGGGCAGAGGGGAAGCTGAGGTCTCCACCAGAATGCTCTTCAGAGCTGTTCCCCGCTAGCACGAGTGGGCCAGGCCTTTGAAGCCACCTTTGACCAGTTGTCACCTGCAGGCCTCAGACAAGGCTGTTCCCTGTGGTTCAGAATGACACCAGGTGTGAGACTCAGCTGAGGATATTTCCAGCTGCTGGGGGTGGGAGACGTTGGCCCCAAAGAGGGACTCTGGAGAGAGCTCCCATTACCTGCTTCAAGTGGCGTCAGGGAAGAACATGCCTCAGTCTTGCTGTGGGAAGAGTCACCCGCCCTCACTCAGCCTCGTTCATTGCTCAGAGCTGTGCTACTGCTGGGCTGGGGACCACTCCCTGCCCTGACATGTAGTGAGCAGGTTAAATCTTGCTGTTATAAAATGGGTCCAATTATCTTTGCAAGTAGCGTCCATTTCTTGCTATCTTTCTTACCAAATTACGTCAATTAACTGTGTGCAACGCGATGGGTGCATGCATTTCCTCACACAGACTTAGTAGCAACCCCACCATGCTACAGCAGCCTAGAACCCCTCTGTCCCCCACCGCTGAGAAAGACTAGATCAGGACGGGCGGGCCAGTTTGAGGGCAGCTGCCTCTGGTCCCTGTCCAAGTGAGGGAGACTGTTTAGCCACATTTGGTTCTAAGGTGAGAAAGCATAAATCATAGAAACCTTCATCAGAAAGACTGAATCCTGGGTCTGCTGGCTCCTAGCCGTGTGTCTGTGGTTAAGTGACAGCCCTCTGAATTTCCATGTCGTCTTCTGCAAAGTGGTGCCTGTATTTACCTAGCAGAGCTGTTGTTCACAAGAGTCAATGGAATAATACCTCGAGTCGTATCAAATTGGCTAGTACAGAATAGGCACTTAATGAATGTTACTCTCACCCTGACCTGTGAAGTTCAGTCCAAGTATTGGGGGCTTCTTTTCTCTCTTACAAATATGTAACTGGGCATGCACCTGCTTTTAGAGAGTCACAGATAAGCACAGATGAGTGAGAAGTGGATCTTCAAGGTATTTATAAATCTTTTGTTTAGTTTTTGGATTCTAGAATTTGAATTTCATTTGTGCACGACACTCTGTAAGTGCCAGTTACTGAGTACAACATAGGCACTCAACAAGTGAATTAAAAATCCAAATGTGTATGAACATGTTTGCTGACATTTTGTTTGTGAAAGTTAAAAGAGAAACAATTTAAATAAAAAGATCAGGGAAGTAGTTTATAGAAACATATTGTGTGCATCCACTAATATTTACTTGTGAAGTCTGTGTAGAACCATGGGATTATGTATATGATGTAATGTTAAGAGAATGAAACAGAGTCTATAACGATGGAATATTTTACATATGTACGTTTTAGCACAGTGTAATTATACAGGTAAGGCACATAGACAGGTGAACCAGAAGGGGAAATGTGAAAATCAAAACAAACTATAGGCTGGTGGAATTAAGTGATGCTTTTGTCAAAGTTTTCTTTACTGTTATTACCTGCTTTCAATAAAATCTGCATTGCTGGTTTGATGCCCTATTTTCTGACATCCATTTGTGCTTTTCTAAGTGCTTTACATCTGACCTTCAATTTTAATTTAAAAAATTGTGGCTCATTTCATTCAGGAATGGCTTTCAATGTACCTAGTAACGAGAATAATTTAATCCTAGCACTGGCATCTAGTTATTTATTCATTCAGCGTCTCTGCTGAGAGCCCCTGGAGGTTAGCTCTGTGCTCAAGCAATAGTGTGAGCAAATCAGGACCTTGTCCGCGGGAGGCTTCTGTTCTAGTGGCGAAGACAGATAGGAAGTGAATGCAAAGTATGTATTGATCGTATACAGTCCAATAGTGGTGAGTACCAGGGGCACAGAGGCTGAAGACTAATCTATTAAAAGTTAAGATCCAGGATAACTCAACATTTTGTGTGCCAATTATGAAATTAGGATGATGCCTCATTTTTCAGTTCCTGCCTCTCTGTCCATAGTATTTTGAGAAATTTTGAGTTCTTTCATTTTAGTTAAGCCTCATGACTGTTTCTCAAAACAACCTTCTGAGGCCAGGCTGCTTGTACAGCAAACTAGAAGGTGCATTTTACTTACCGATGGATTCCTGTGTTGTGTTTTGCAGTTTTCAGTGAAGACCTACACTCCAGCCTCTACTTTGTCAATGCATCTCTGCAAGAGGTAGTGTTTGCCAGCACCACGGGGACTCTGGTGCCCTGCCCCGCTGCAGGCATCCCTCCTGTGACTCTCAGATGGTACCTAGCCACGGGCGAGGAGATCTACGATGTCCCCGGGATCCGCCACGTCCACCCCAACGGCACTCTCCAAATTTTCCCCTTCCCTCCTTCAAGCTTCAGTACCTTAATCCATGATAATACTTATTATTGCACAGCTGAAAATCCTTCAGGGAAAATTAGAAGTCAGGATGTCCACATCAAGGCTGGTGAGTACGGCTCTTTGGGTTTTTTTGCTTGTCTGCCTGCTTGGGTGGGGGCAGAGGGCCAACGATGAATAGTAAGATGCTGTCACAGCTGAGAACCAATGAACACCCGTCATTGGTTCATTCTGACACTGCTGATGATTTCTTTGAGATCTCAGAGTGTACCTTATTTAGATTTCAGAGCGCCTTTCATTGTTGGAATGAAAACTTGACAGTAGTTATTATCAAGTTGGTGAGTTCTAAACTATATCCCAACCTTGTTATATTTTGACTAATAAATAATACTCTAACTCAAATTTCCACTGTCTCACACATCCAATGTATTTACTTCCAACTCTGTTTTCCTCCCTATCCCTTTCCCCACTGCATCCTGGGAGAGAAAAAAGACGAATGGTTGAGCTGGAATAAAACCGTAGCATCAATGTGTACTGTAATGGAAACAGAATCAATCTAACACCCTTGCTTTCCTTGTGAAATAAGAAGGCTATTTTAACATTTTTGACTGTAGCACATGTTGCTGAAATGTTATCAGTGCATAAATCCTGAATTGGCTATGTTCCTTTTAACAACAAACTGTGTCTTTATTAATCACCATTGCTACAAGTCAACCCAGGAATACTTAGCGTGAGATACACAGACATCAAAGACTATGTACACAGGACGTATTGTGTGGTTCTATAGATTTAACAAAGCCCCGCAAAACAAGTTCACAGCTAGACTCCTGTTAGAAAACAGCATTTTAATTTTTTTTAAGCCTAGATCTGAAATACTTGTGTAGACTGACATAATATAATGGCGGGGCAAAAAGAATGTGACTTTGATTGTTGTCTTAAACACCAGGTAGCTGGGGAGCTTTGCAGTAATTTCTGCAGTAAGTGAGTAGGTGCTAGTGGAAGACATCACAATGTGAAGAAAATACGAGATGTTTCTGAATTCCTGCATATGATCTTTTTGATGTAAGCAATCAAACATTAGACTATGACTCATGCCGCTAGCTAGTCATTTTCCCAACTGTATTTTGATCTCCCTGACATCTCATGAATTCTAAGACGTGCACAAGAATTCAGTTGAGAAAGGGGAAGAAAAGATTAGCTTTAATCAAGATACATGAAAATTTGATATGGCAAATAATTACAATAAAGCGAATGAAATTTGTATAGGGACCTCGAAACCTGACAAACAGGGAGATACAGTGAATGCTTTTTACTTGACAGATTGAACATTTTAATGATGTGTTATAAAAACATGTTTATAATCTACAAAACACCACTTATAGAGAAACCTGAAATTTCCAGCAGCTATATCTGTACATATTAATCCATTATTTCTGCCTTGGGTTTCCTATTAGGGGAATTCAGTGTTCACTCCTGTTTTCTAGATTTGACATAGAATTGGTTGTTTTTGCATAACACCGAAAGTTTTGGGAGGATGGGGATTACATCATCTTGTCTGGCATCTATGCTAATCACCTCCTTCCACACAGTTGTGCTCTTGCTGTTTATGTGTTGATATTCTTGACATCTGAACCCCTGTGGAACATGAGTCCGGCACACACACATCTACTGTGTCAGTTTGAACACGCACAATAGGTCATCGGGTTGCCCAAATGAAATTTCTTTTCTTATTTAATTTTGCTTCCTATTATGAACACATTATGGTTACAGTAATCTTTTAGATTGTGTATTGTATGCTTGAAAATATGGGCCGGGCACCGTGGCTCACACCTGTAATCCCAGCACTTCGGGAGGCTGAAGTGGGAGAATCGCTTGAGCCCAGAAGTTTTGGACCAGCCTGAGCAACACAGCAAGACCCCGTCTCTACAAAAAATAGAAAAATTAGCCAGGCATGGTGGCATGCATCTGTAGTCCCAGCTACTCTGGAGGCTGAGGCAGGAGGATTGTTTAAGCCGAGGAGTTTGAGGTTGCTGTGAGCTAGGCTGATGCCATGGCACTCTAACTTGGGTGACAGGGTGAGACCCTGTCAGAAAGAAAGAAGGAAAAAAGAAAAAAAAAGAAAGAAAAGAAAGAAAATATGGTTTTATCATGTTAATGTAGACGCTAGTGCAGAGCTGGATGGTTGTTCTGAAGGGCAGGTCAGGGACACGTGTTACCCTTTGACAGCTCAAGTGCAGGTTTGAGTCCAGTGAACCCTCACTCGTGGGGTGTCCTCTTGTGTATCAGGTCATCCTAAATGTCTAAATGTCCCTTTAGATTGGTGTTGAGATTTCCCTGGAATAATCCATTAGGTAAACTGGCTTCACTGTCTTTCCATTGCCAGCACAAGGAAGTCTTGTTCTTCACAATTTTCAGCAGTTCTGACCCAGTTCTGGTGCCAGCAATTGAAAGAAGGTTCACCCATCATGTCTCATTAATCAGCAGTCCTGGTTCTAACAGAGCACACTTTCTTGCCCTTTCTATTCTAAGGACTGGGTGCAGATGGGCCACTTGAAACACGGTTGCCCCTACCGGGCTGTATGTCCTACTTAGCAGACGGCGATCAGCTGTGTGATCTTGGGCAAGTCCAACATTTCGTGATTGTTTTCTCCTGAGTAAACTGTGCTCACTCACATTTGACTGAGGCTTTTGCATATGGCCAGGATGGAGTATCAGGGCCAACTTTGCCCTTTTATCTGAAACACCGAGAAACAAACAAACAAAAAACCCAAAACAGACAAAACATGTGAAGCAGCCGTGTTCCAGACTGGACCTCGGGCAGTGAAGGAAAGTGACCCTGGAGGAACCGCAAGTGACAAGACGAGCCCAGGATTGCCCCCGTTTACTGCCTGAAGCTTCTGGATGGAGAAACAAAAATCTGCACATGAATTTGTATAGCATCTTTAGTCATAATTGCCCCCAAAATGGAAGCAACAATCATGCCCTTCAGTACGTGAGTGGTTAATGACAAAGACTGTCCTCGACCAAACTTGGGCCAGGGTCCTCGGGGCCTCTCCCAGCTCGGCATCATCCACGGTTTTGTGTGACTGTCCGCGGGTGCCCAGAGTCAGCAAGAATCCTCCTGCTCAGTTATCCTGCTACCCTTGGTACTTGATCACCTTTGATATCTGATCAAGTTCCTCATCCCCCACCTTTGATGTATAAATTTTTGTCCTGCCTTCAGCTGTTAGGCCAGTTTAGCAAGAGACCCCCCACCCTTGATGTCTCCTTTTACAGTTTTCCATCCCAGTCCCCTCAGTCTGCTCACTGGCGATAGAGCCCCACGGATCCTCCTTGTATATGGAGTTGATTACTCTCCCCTGTCGCAATAGTCGTGGCTCCTGCTGCGATAGTCTTGAATAAAGTCTTCCTTGCCTTTTAATGGTGTTAAAATAATTTTTCTTTAACAACAAACTATAGTACAACTATACAGTGGAGTATTACTTAGCAATAGAAAGAAATGAGCTCTCAAGTTATGAAAAGACATGGAGGAGACATAAATGCATATCACTAAATTAAAAATAGTATCTGAAAAACCTTCATACTGTGTGGTTCCACCTGTATGTTGTTCTGGAAGAGGCACATTATAGATGCAGTAGGAAGATCAGTGGTTGTCAGGGGTCAGTGGGGAGGGAGGAGTGAATAGGTGGGTGGAGCTCAGGGGATTTTAGGGCAGTGAGCCTGTTCTGTGTCACACTGTAACGGTGGGCCCGTGACATTAGCCGTAGAACTGTACAACACAGAGTGGAACTTAATGCACACCATGGGCTTTAGTTAACACTAATGTATAAATATCAGTTCAGTTCATGAATTGTAACAAATGTGTCACCCTAATGCAAGATGCTAATAATGAGAGAAATTAGAGAAGGGTGAGGAGAGTGAAGTGTATGAGAACTTTCTGTGAAATTTTTGTTTAAACCAAAAACTGCTCTAAAAAATCCAAAAATTTGAAAAGGACTTCAAGTAACTTTATGTACAAATGAAGCCCCAAGGGAAAGGATAGTGAGACCAAAAATAAAAATTAAATACTAACTAGAATTTTCCAAATTTGATGAGAACTGTAAACCCATAGATCCAAGGAGTTAAACAAACCCCAAGCTCAAGACCTGTGAAGAAAATACACCAAGGAACATTATAATAGAGTTGCTCAGAATCAGGGATCAAGAGAAAATATTAAAAATAGCCACAGAATAAAGGCATACTACACACAAAGGAACAAAGATAAGGATGACAGCAGATTTGTCAAAA